GAGGGAGGGAAAGAAAAGGCACGTCATTATTCCAAATTTATACTCTGAAAACCCCCTATAGGAAATTTCAATATTCATTTCTATCATGAAATTCAGCATACATTCAATCACATTATTCAATACCAAGTATTTTTATAGGTTTTGGGGAGTTATTCATGCTAAAATGCAAAATGCAGAAAATTGGCAACTGAAGATCATGTGTATTACCATTATCCCCCAGCTGACCTGTGTTTATGTACTTCCCAAAGTACCAAAGTATTCCTATAAATATGCCAGTGATGTCAAACAAATAATGATAGCAGAAAGTTCCCTCCACTATTTCTCCTTGTGCTCCCAGTTAATTTAATATAAGCCCAGACAATTACAAAGGTCTTTACGCCATTTCCAAAGTGGTGATCAGACACCTAAATTTAGTTCACTAAAACCAGGGCTAAACAAGTACATTTAGATCTAATGGGTCACTCAAGATGACTAGAACTTCCCAATATTTCCATGTCATTTCCATCTGTCTTATTTTTTTAAGTGAAGTGAGTCACAAAATTCAGTTTTTTCTTTGAAGAGAATGGTATTTAAACAAGTGTTATTGGGAAATTTTAATACTCATCTTGGACTATAACAACATAAGCTGTATACAGCAGTGAAGAATTTTAGTGAACTACTGTTATAACATCGTTTTAATCTAGATATGCATTAGATCGTATTTCATAATGAAAGCAGCTATAAAAACAAATGTCATTTGGAAGACTGGCCTATTTTACAAGCCTGCCTCTAACATGGAATAAATCTTGCCTTCAAGTCACAAGCCATGGTTGCAACCTCCTTTATATGAAACAATCAAACCATTCACATTGCGAAGTAGTGAACAGTGTCAGAGAATCAAGGAATTTAGAGATGAGAAAAGAGCACAACACCTGACCCAAATCTTAAACTACAGATGCAGGGCAGCTTATCAGCTACTTTCATTCATTCAAGCCCTCACTTCTCTCATTCTAGCTCCAAAAGCTAATCCCTTTTCTCTATCTGTGTTCTGTCTCCTCTTGGAGAGCCAGACCAACTCAAACTCTAAGCTCATTAAGTATTACTTCCACTTTTCAAACCAAGCATACAATTGTTTAAGTGACAGAAAACAATTTGTAAAGCCATCTACATATGTTATCAAAGCTGACCTTTTATAAACCCAAATGCTTATTAGTAACTATGCTATTTATTAGTGCTAACAATTAAAAACAGTTATGCTCACTCTTATCAGATTAAGTTTGCAGAGAATCTTTGCCTGACACTTTTGTTTTCTAAGCTACCACATTCCTCAGCATTCAAGTCTACTTTACCCTTTGTTCATTTCCCAATTGTTGCCAACTTTCTGTATCTTTTTGTTCTGGTTAGAAAAGAAGTTAGTGTCCCGAGACATAACTGCACTGCCTTGTTTACAAAATTTTAAGAGAAATTATCTTTTTCTAATCACAACAGACTAATAAGCAAGCTCAAAATGACTTTGTACAAGTCTGCCTCATCGTGACATGCTATGAATTGTTAATTTTTTAACTTCCATTTTCTTCCAACCTGAAACACATCTCTTTGAATTTCTGAAAAATAATGGTTTCAGGAAATTGACACATACTTTGGGAAATGTGCCACTTTCAATTCAAGGTCATCTGAACTCTACATTTTAAAAAATGTCATACTGCCCAATAAAGAGCCACTTTTTAACTCAACAAGGAGAAGTGCTTCTGATTTCAGTTTTAGAAAAGAAAAATACCTGTACAGTAGAGGTGAAAAAGCCTATAATGGACAACTTCCTAAGGTCAAACAAAACCACCTCCAGGAACATGGCAGTCCATTTAGCTGAGGGAATCTCAACATACAGCAATCTTGACTAAGTCCTGGAGTTCAAATGCAGTAGAGAAACTTAAGAACAATACGGGAAATTAAAGATGAACACACTCCAAGCTCTGGCCTAAAACAGTAAGAAATCAAATTCTTTTAGAATATGAGTTTTTAGAATATGAATTTGTTGTTGCCAACTCAGTTTCAGTATAACAGATTTTCCCGAATGCCTCATGGAGGCCACCTCCACTTTTGAGAGGGTAGATCATAATATCCAACACTTCACAGCAAAAATTTTTTTCCTGTAGAGCCACTTTAGATTCCTTTGCATTAAATTTGACACAGACAACATGTCTACACATTCTCAAAGACACTAGTGGAATTTACTCAATTACTTCAGAAAGACTAGACATGGGATACAAACTGTATATATTTATCTATCAAGCTTATACAGATTACAGTGGTTATAAATATTAGTTTATCAGTAACTGATAGTCATCATAGTCCAAGTAAAAAGAATCCTGACAAATAAGCTTGATGCAAATCTACAAGAAACCGAGGCTGCCAAAAAAAGGCTTTTGTTATTCAAGCATACCAAAGAATTGCTTAAAGCTTTTTTCCTTTTTAAGTGGAGCTCAAAATAGATTTTAATACTACCAGCTGATAGATCTCACAATTTGCCTTTTGAGCTTATAAGCTGGAAAGAGGATAAACAGCCTTCTCCCTTTACACAAGCAACAAAATCTCTCTATTCTGTACATCGTTTATTTAAAATACCGAGTGTGGTTTTGGTTAATCCTCACAACCCCCGCAGTGACATTTAATCAGGAGCACATATTTTCTTGAGAGGGTTTAGCTGCTTGTGAAGGCAGACCGCTTCGTGTTTTTAACCTGATGTTTTAGAGATATGTCAGAAACCCTACCTTCCTAACTTTTCTTTATGAACCACCACAGCCCACAAGTAGACGAAGACTTGGAAGACCCAATCATCTCAGCCATGAGCAAAGGGTAAAATGCTCATGAGGGAAAGATGCTATTTCACAGGGTAAAAATGTTAACTTTCCCTGGTCCCCACCAGAAAGGGTAATATTTTGGCCCCACTGAAGTGGGTACCTCAGGCCTCCTGGCTGGACGGATCTTTAGCCTGGTATTTCCATGGCCTGCTGCTGCTCCTCATTCAGCTCACAGAGCAAATGTCTCTTCCTCTGACCTTCTCTAAGGTGGCCCATCTTCCGATATAATGTTTTGTTTTCTTCACAGCACCTAACACTATCTGAAATTATTTGCATATGTGTTTGCCCTATTTTACTCTAAGCTCTACGAGGGACAAGGTCTTGTCAGTCTTATTCAGGAAACACTACCTCCAGCGCCTAAGCAGTGCCTAGCACGAAACAGGCACGTCGATTCAAATCCATTCAATGAATGAACAGGAAGGGGGAAAGGGACTGTCATCCTAGGGGCTCCCGACGCACACTGAGACTAGGGGAAAGGAAATGTGAAGGAGGGAGGGGGAGTAACCCTTTCCCCCAGGGAGACAAAGGAAGAGAGTCTGAGGTGGTCCAGTCTAGAAAAGGAAGTGGTGGGGTGTTCTACCAACCCCAGGGGACAAAGAGTGGATAGGAAGGGGGGCGGGGTCGGGGTGCGAGGGATTCGCGCTGAGAGCAGAGACCCCGCGGCCTCCAGGCTTGAGAGGTCACCGGGCTGGAGGATGTGAGGTAAGGGGGGATCAAAGAGGGCTGCGAGGTCCGGGAGGGACGAAGGCCCACCCGAGGGACAAAGAGAGAGGGAGCCGGCCTCTGCCGCCGCTGGATTTGAATACTCAAGCAGCAGGGCCGGGGCAGAGGTCGAGACCCACAGGGAGGACAGGGCTCGGGGATCTGAGGGAAAGGTTCACGCGGCCTAAGCGAAGGGCCTGCCGCGCTCCGGGTGACTCCCGCACCTGGTAAATGGCCGCCCAACTCCCGGCCTTGTCGATCTCCTCGAACTCCTTTTCCATCTCCATGACGGGCCAGGGCGGCTGCTGCGCCTCCTCCTCGGCCCACTGCGCCGTCTGCCGCTCTAGGCCGCGTCGCGCACTCCGCCGGGAGTCCCGCTGCAAGCCTCGGCTCCCGCCGCTACCGCCGCCCTAGCCGCTGCTTCTTCATGTCAACCCGGCAGCCGGAAGTACGCACAGCGCTGCCGTGGGCTCCGCCCTCAAGCGTGAAGGCCAATCAGCGGCCGAACAGCTCGGCCAGCACTTCCGCGGGGCGGAGTCAGGGGGAGGTGCTGGAGCTACTGGCCTCAACCCCGCGAGACCTCTTGCCGTGCTCGCTCCCTCCTCCCCTCCGAAACTCCGAGCTTGGGCGTGGCGCAAGCCCGTTGCCTAGGCGACCCGAAGAGCCCGACCCTTGGGCCTTGGGTTTGCAAGGCCTCCTTGGATGTTGAGATCAAACCTCTAGGAATCCTGTTGAGTCACAGGATGGCCCTGAAGTAGTCATGTATCTTTCCTGCAACGCCAGGGCCCTGGCCTCAGTGCTCCAAGCTGGAATATGGGCCTAAAAAGCATGCCCCATTTCCTGCCTCCCACCTCTGGCCAGATGTCCGCCCGTTTATTCATGAAACGTAGAGCTTCATGATTCACCAGGCTGCTGAGGAAGGACCTTATTCTCTGTACTGTCCTTGTACTAAAATGCAAGATTTACGTTTGGGGTCTCCAATTTCGGACGCTGCAAGAGTGAATGGATTGAGGTCATGGTATGATTTTCAGTTTCCTAAAATATCAAGGAAATCTTGCCTACTCTGGACTCAGTGGAGCACAAATTCCATGGTGCATTAGACTGTCGAACAATGCAGATTTCTGGTTCCAACTCCAAAGGATTCAGATACTAAGAATTTGTTCTTTTTACCAGCAACCCCAGCTAACTGTACACCTATGGTCCTGGAAGCACATACGAGAAGGGCTGGTCAGGTTGCCTTTCTGCAGGTTCTACTTTTGTGAACTGCATGGGGTCAGAGAACCTAGAGGGCTGAATCATCTCTGTTCCCCATTTGCACCCCAAGTCTGCCCAAAGCAGCTGCTGGTATCCCTGGTTGAATTAATTCCTTGAGTGCTTCTGGCAGGCACTTGCCTGGCATTCCAGGTACACATTCTCAATCCCCACAACAATCCTACAATATAGGCTCTGTTATTATTACCATTTTATGGATGAGGAAACTGAGGTGCAGAGAACAAAATCACTTCTCTGGAGTAGCATTGCACATTGGTATGGAAGCCAGGATTCTAACCCAGTCTCCAGAGGAATGCTTGCTTTGGAGCCAGACTGTGTGGGTCCAAATTCCAGCCCTAATAAATCCTAGCTGTGCAATCTTTAGCAAAATACCTAACCATTCTCTGTCTCTGTTCCTTCCTTTGTAAAAGTAGGACAATAGAAGTACCTACCTCATAGGGGTAGTGTAAAGATTGAATGAGTATATATCGTACTATTAGTATAGTGAGTGGATCAATAAATATTAGCCCTCATTATTATATATCTCCAAATAATAGCAAATGGGGAGGTGAATGAATTCTTTTTTTTTTTTTTTTACTTAAATATATCCTTATTGTTTCAGAGAGGGGAAGAGAGAGGGAGAGAGAGAATTGAAACATCAGTGATGAGAGAGTCGTCATTGATCAGCTGACTCCTACATGCCCCCAACTGAGCCTGCAACCCTGGCATGTGTCCTGACCGGGAATCGAACCACGATCTCCTGGATCCTAGGTCAATGCTCAACCACTGAGCCACGCCCGGCCGGGCTGAATGAATTCTTATTGAATAAATGCAATTGGTTGGAAAGGCAATGACATTAGAAGCTGACTGTTCCATGGAGAAAATTAACAAAGATACCGATCCTGGTGAAAAGTTTGGGAACCCCACACTTGGAAGCTGCCTAATTTAAGGCTTAGCCCATTTAAGTGACTTTCCAGGCTTTGGCGTATTCTTCTGTCCTTATTGATTTGAGTCCTAGTTTGTCTGGTACCCACAGAACTTTTGGGGGGAAGAGAGAAGAGGGCTGGTTCATTCCTATCCCTGTGGGCTGAGCTAAATAAGTAAATAAATCAAATGCCCATCTGGAGCCCAAGTGGCCCTGATGCCTACAGGGAGTGTCACCCAATGATTGCAGCGACCTTTGAGTGGGGCCAAAGTTATGCACAGGATCTTGATGGAGGAGAGGAGGGCTGCAGCAGGCTAAATGGGGGTCTAGGTCTGGGCTGTTTAGTGGCTGTGGTAATTTCCTAGGGGTGTGGTAACAAATTACCACAAACTTGATGGCTTAAAACAATAGAAATTTGCTTTCGAACAGTTCTGGAGGCCAGACGTCCAAAATCAGTGGGGTTGACAGGGCCACAGTCCCTCTGAAGTCTCGAGGAGAGAACTCTTTTTTGCCTCTTCCTCCCCTGGCAGCTCATCGTTCCTTGGCTTGCGGCAGCATCACTTCAATCTCTTGTCTCCATCTTTACACAGTTTTCTTCTCTGTATCTCCTCCTCTACCAACTCTTTTATCTCCCTCAACTTCTTATCTGATATTTGGCAGGAGAAGTGGCCTGTGTTACCAGAATCGCCTGTGCCTTTCTGAGGCTTCCTTTCATTTGTAAAGCTCACCAATTCCCTGACAAGGCCTGGCCTAGAACCAGCCAAGCCCTGTATCCCCCAGAGATGTGATGGTGGTGATTGGGGATCTTTTAGTGATGACTGGTTAGAAAATAAACAAATGACCATGTGTCATGACAGCTGAAATCTTTTCCTGGCAGGCATGATCTCACCCCGCTTCTCTGGCCTTTCCTTCATGGATTTAGCTAATGGAGGAAATCAATGTCCCAGTAAACTTTGTTAAATGTCCTAAAGAGTTATCAGTGGAGAAGGATGACTGTTTCCCAAAGATCATCGACTCCTAACTTAGCAGGGTCAGCAAGTTGCCTGGTAAATTCGGTCTTGGTCTTTTTCCTGGCAGATGGCTCAGTGTTAAGAGCTTGGGATCCAGAGTGCGACCAAATTGGTCCCTGATGAAATGTCACTTCCTCAGAGAGGCCCCTTCTGATGCCTCCTACTAAACGGTGCCCTGTCACTCTATCCCTTTTCCTTCTTAGCACTTACCAGGCATGTGGTGTCATATTTTCTCCCTGGTGTTACCATGCATTATGTTTTGTATTTGTTTTAGGTGTTTATCGTCTGTCTCCACCACTAAATGTAGACTTCATGAAGAAAAGAAACTGAATCATTTTGGTTCAATGCTGTCTTCCTTAAGCTACAGGTCATTCCCAGATGAGCCCATGAGTCCTTGGGAAATTCCAGAAACTGAGAAGACAGGGCTCCTAAGAGACTCAGAGCTGAAGGGTCCTCAGGGTCACCCAGCTCCGTCTGTCCACCACTGAGGACACACAGCCAGGAAGGGAAGTGGCCCTTTCGTCTAAGATTCTCACATGGTCTCCTAACATAGTTTGGGCACCTTAACTGGTTGGCTGATTTGGGGTCAACCAAAGCACACCAAAGATGTAATAACTAACTGGGGACAAAGCCATAGGCCAAAGCACTGGAACCTTGATGCACAGAGCTTCCGCCTACAGCCACATCCAGTGCTAGGTAACAGTGTTGTCTAGCATTTTCTATTTCCCAACAGCCCTGCAAGTCAGGTGTTATCACATCTTCCAGATGAGAAAATGGCTGCTCAGAGAGGGAAAAGAGGTGAAATCAATGAATACCCAAATACAGAATGCTGGCCCCGATGTTGGAGTAACGGGCACAGCAGGTTTAGAAGCTTCTAAATCCTGGGTCAGCTACTTATTAGCTTTCAGGCCTTGGGCAAGTTGCTTAACCTCCTGGTGTCAGCTTGGATGCTTTCCAGTGAGAAAAACCCAGCTGAAAGTGGCTTTCACAAAACGGGGAATTTGCTGGCTCATGAAACTGGAAAGTCCAGAGATGGCTTGTTTCAGGCATGGCTGCATCCAGGGGTTCAAACAATGTCATCATGACTATCTCTCAACAGCTCTTTTATCTGTTTCTCCCTGTGTTAGCTTTACTCTCAGGCAGGCTCTCCTCCTGTGATAACCAGGATGGCCCAGCAACTCCAAACTCATATCCTGGCCTCTCATCAACTTCAGTGGAAAGAGCCCTTCTCCCTGCTGGTGCCAGCACAAGTCCTGGCCTTGAATCTCATCGGTCCAATTGAGTCTCACATGCCATTTCTAAGCCAAGGGAAATATTGGCAAATGAAGAAACTGAGGCCAAGAGAAGTCAATTTCTTAACCAAGGTCACACAACTATAAGTAGTGAAGTGGATTTAAATGCAGGCAGTCTTGTCTCAGCCTCTGAGCTCTCAGCTATGATGTGCAGGCTCTGCAAGGACTCCATGAGCTCTAAACAAACAATAACAATGAAGAGCTAATAGTAGTAATAATATCACTACAACAACATGGTGAAGCCTGTACTATTATTATCCCCCATTTGAACCAAGGCACAGAAAGGTTAAGCAACTTGCCCATGGCCACACAGCTAAGAAATGGTGAACCCAGAATGTGAACCCAGTGTAGCTCTAGATACTGCTTCCAGTTCTGAACTCCTGTGAATGTATGTGAGTTCTGCACTGTTTCAGAGCTCACAGAAAGGTTAACGGCCCAGAAGCTCCTTGTTCACATCTTTCTGGGCTCTCTTCCCCACCCTTATAGAGACTTCCCAACCCCTCCACCCCCACAAAGTATTTTAGACTTTACTCCAAGCCATTATAAAAATAAAACAAAAATAAACACATAAGTCTAATCCTGAGCTGTCTGTCCTGTACGGGTGACTGTCTCAGGGCGGGGAGGAGAAGGTGCTCAGGGGAACTAGGGCATCACATGAGTTCTGAGAAAGGAGGGTCAGAGGCCTGGGGGAAGGTCTGAAAGGGAAGTTAGACCTTGGCCCCATGCTTTCGGCAAAGGAGGAGTCTGGGAGGGTTTCCAGAGGTCATTAAAACTCCCCCTCCCCCCGCAGTTGAGAGTGCCAGGATGGGGGGACACTTCCGTGGCACACACAGTGGTCTGGG